TTGTAGTTATAAGTAGACTAGACTTTGTACTTATAAGTAGACTACCAGTAGACTTGACCTGCTAGTTATAAGTTGAATACCAATATACTTGATTTTCTAGTTATAAGTAGACTAGACTTTATAGCTATAATTAGGCTACCAATAGACTAGACTTTATACTTATAAGTAAGCTATCAATAGACTTAGACGATCAATACACTTGACTTTGTAGTTATAAGTAAACTACCAATAGACTATACTTTGTACTTATAAGTTGACTATCAATAGACTTGACTTTCTAGTTATAAGTAAACTTGATTTTCTAGTTATAAGTAGACTATCATTTCCATTGATTAAATTGTAAGAATATCAAACACTAAGAGGACCATCAGAGACGACCAAAAAAAATTGCCACTTCTGTCCGACCAAAGATGATCTTTCTACTGCACAGTAGAATGTCTCAATTTCTTTAGCAAAACTTCAATAGTACAAAACCAACGTCACAAAAATTGCATAAAATCCGCATCTCCGTCATTAAAATTTAAGATCGTCAAACACTAAAAAAAAAAATCATCACTGATGTCCAAACAAACTGTGTCAAGTCTGTCCGACCAATGCTGTTCTTTCTACTGCGGAAAACCTCGTCAAACGACCGAGTGATTTTGCTTTTCAATATCCTCTGACAAATTGTGGCGGCCTGCGCGAATAATAACGTCCGAGCGGAATTTGGAATAGCTTGGACCCACGAGATTTACGATCGCGGTCGCTGGATATCGCTTCGCGTGTATATGTGTACACATACATGTCCGTAAATATCGCAGTTTCATAAAATTCGGAATTTACGGTCCTCCGTTCGGCAGCAAGCTAATAAATGTGTACTGACTAATTCACTGATTTACGCAAATCTACTAGTGCAATGAGCAACCGCTGCGATTTCATAAGGCTGCGAATTTATGCGCCTGTATTTCCGCGATTATTGCAATAAATACCGTGCAATTGTTCCTGGAAGAGCCACGATCGTGTACACCGTTAATACCGAAATAAAATGTACCGGGTGAGCCAGTGAAAAATGTCACGGTGACCTCGACTCGGTCCGCGATGGATCGACTCGGACCTGGCTTCGGAGGAGTGGGGATGGCGACGCGTGCGCCGCGAGCAATGGAATGGTGACTCACGTGCTATTGTGTGGGACTCGCGGCACACGCGTCGCCATCTCTACTCCTCCGACGCCAGATCTAGCTTATTTCCCTGCGAACGCTGCCTCGGCTTGCTCCGACGCGTCCTTGGAACCATCGCATAATGCGCTACAAATTTGCTCGATACAGTCAACAAACTAATAAATAAGAGCAGCTAACAAATATATTTTTTTATAATATTTTTGATGACACACCCCGTATCTTCGGCCGAAAAATTCACAATAGACCGTCGCGTTCCAGAGACCGTGATCTATCTCCCGTCAAGCTATTCCCGACGATTTTCCGAGATCCATTAACAAAGTTTTCTTCCGACGCGGAGATTCCGACTCGTCCCGCTCAAAAAATGAGAAACGCCGCGGCCGTGTAATTTGTACACGTCCGTGGCTGCATTGTGAAATCTACGGTTCGGTATTCGCCGCAATTTATCACGCCGGGTCCCGAAGGATCCCGTCTCGCGTCGCAGGGATGGTAAACAAGAGATGGCGGGCCGTACCTGAAACGGGATCACGAACAAACCTATGACAATGTCAGCCACCGCCAGATTCGCGATGTAGAAATTCGTCACGCTCTGCATACGTTTGGACGCCGCGATGATCCACATCACGAGGGAGTTGCCAATCAGCGTGAGGAACGCGAGGCTGCCGTACAGGATGCTAAGGAACACGACGTGCAAGGTCGGCACTTCGTACGGTCTCTCTGAAAATGATATTCCGGTCGATTTTAATCGACATCGGCGGCAGAGATATTTTAGTTCTTTGCTGGGAAAAGTATACACATAATAAACAAAATTATGTTAACAACTGGCAGAAAGTGATTCCTGAGGTCATTCGAAGCAATTTTTTCCTTTGCGAAAATGTTCTACGAGGCTTCGTTCACGAGTAATTGACGAAAAACGTACGGCGCCACGCCCACACTTGTTCTAGCTCCGCCCTCGCTCTCCAATTGGTTCACGCTTTTTGCCGATAACTCGTGAAGGAAGCCTCGTAGAACATTTTCGGTGAGGAAAAAGTTGCTTCAAATTACCTGAGGAATCATATGAGGTAATTATTTCAGAATTATTATTATTTATATATTATAATAAATTTATTTTTCGCTTTCACTATTTTTATCGTAATATTTTTTATTATTAAAAGAACCTCGACCTAACGTTTTTACCGCAACGTCTTCACCACCATTGTATGTCATAATAAGTGGCATTATAATTGCAACAATGTTAAATGAAAAAGATGTGGAAACGACTTTAAACAACAGCAATTAATTTTCGTCAGAGATTCATAAAATTCGCAGTCCGATAAAATAAGCACAAAACTATAAAAATATTGTAAAAAGAATGTTTCTATCTAATTAACATTGTATATTTCGGTTGATTTTAATTGACAGTTGATTAGATCACTGCGGCGGCAAGTATCTGGCAACGTGCTCGTTAAAAGTTGCAAGAACCGAAGACGCCCGGCTCGTTTACCGCGTTCGTGCTCGGCTTTTGTGTCTCGTTAACCGAACTTCCGACCACCTGCAGGGCAAATCGAAATAACTTCGGCGTGGATTAGCTTGAATTAAACGCCGTGAGCTTTGTTGCACTGGAATGTGAGTTTCGGTATAAAGTCGGTATTTATCTGCGGAGACAAAGGGTCAAATATTTCGCAGTTTCCGCCGTGAACGCTGTCAACTACACCGCGTGACGCGATCAAGTGGCAGCTTCGAGTTTCTTAAATGTGCAAGAACTGAATCGAATGCAACATTGTGTAAAACTGAATTAAATACAACGCTGTGCAAAACTGAATTAAATGCAACATTGTGGAAAATTGAAGAAAATGCAACATCGTGCTAAATTGAATTAAATACAACAATGTGCAAAACTGAGTTAAATGCAACAGTGTGTGAAATTGAATTAAATGCAACAATGTGCAAAACTAAATGTAATGCAACAATGTACAAAACTTAATTAAATTGCAGCAATGTGTAAAATGGAATCAAATGCAACATTGTGCAAAACTGAATTAAAAGCTTCACTGTGTAGAAACTGAATCGGAAACATTATTTCTGTTTAAACGAATGCAACGTTGCCAGCGTTACAGAATCATGTACATTGTTCGCGTCTGGTGCCGATATTTCACGTGTACAGTAACAATAAATATTTATTAACCGAACTCCATAGTTCAAATCGTGATGCATCGCTGCACGCTGACTTTAAACTCTGTTTACGTCGGTTTTTCCGATGAAAAATTCCAGCTATTAACCCGGCCGGAAGTTTTATAGTGCGCACGCGAAATCGTTAACCTTTAACCGGCGGCGATAGTTAGTGGAAATTCGATTAGTATTCTGTCTCGTTCGAATCGCGGGGCAGTAAAGCGTGTTGTTTAGAAAGCTCGTTCATCGTTCAGCTCGGCGAGTTTTTGTTCCGAGATTAAAGTAACGCAACGATAATGGACGTGGCGACCCAGAAATACAGGGTGTTCCAGAAATAGCGTTAGAAATTCAAACGTGTGACGAGGCGATTGCTCGGGCGATTCCTAACAACTTTTTCCTTTGCGAAATTTTTCTTCGTGGCTTGGTTAACGAGTTATTCGCGAAAAACGGGGACCGATCGGAGATCGCGTACGGCTCGCGCTAGCGTGGGCGCGGCCTCGCGTGGCCCCGCGCTAGCGTGGGCGGGGCGTCTACTGTGCTCGCCGCCTAATTGGTCGGCGTCTTTCCTTAATAACTCGTTAACGAAGCCTCGGAGAACATTTTCGCAAAGGGAAAAGTTTTTTCATTTTATCTAAGGAATTGCCTGCTTCAAGGGCTTGCAATAATTTTGACACACCTTTTGGATCATGCTACCGACGTTCGTCGAACCAAATAGTGTAAGTTCCAAGTATAAGCGTGATCCCGGAACATAGAACAGCTTGGTCAGAGCATACTGTGCGCCGCGATTAGTCTTGATTTCCATAACGAACAATTTGTCCGAGTCATTTGACCACGNAAAGTAACGCAACGATAATGGACGTGGCGACCCAGAAATACAGGGTGTTCCAGAAATAGCGTTAGAAATTCAAACGTGTGACGAGGCGATTGCTCGGGCGATTCCTAACAACTTTTTCCTTTGCGAAATTTTTCTTCGTGGCTTGGTTAACGAGTTATTCGCGAAAAACGGGGACCGATCGGAGATCGCGTACGGCTCGCGCTAGCGTGGGCGCGGCCTCGCGTGGCCCCGCGCTAGCGTGGGCGGGGCGTCTACTGTGCTCGCCGCCTAATTGGTCGGCGTCTTTCCTTAATAACTCGTTAACGAAGCCTCGGAGAACATTTTCGCAAAGGGAAAAGTTTCTTCAAATCACTCGAGGAATCTCTCCTTTCTCTCGGAGCTCTATAAGGTGTCAGTTTACGACGCGACTGTATCCTAAAACAATGCACATTGTGACACGATGATCTTCGTATTTATCTGTCTAAGCAAGTACGTGTTATCTTCGCGGCGAAACAATGTGGAACCCGGATTTAACGGGCCGCTGTACGGTTGAACGTCTCTCGGGACGATGTATCAGAAGAATTTATGTTTGCACATGGATCGCAGCTTGAAGAGCACAGAGATGCATGAGTTATTGCTCCGCGCTGCAGTAATTTCAGTATCTCGCCGTAAACTGCAAGCAATAATACCGCAATGAAAACGTAAATCATAGGTTTTTATGAATTTTACGTAACATGACGAACGACACTTAAACGCGCTGTTCATTTTATCGATATACAATAATTCCGCGATAAAACCGCGATTGCTTTCGTGGACTCGATCGGCGACGTTGCCATACTTTGCGTTTAATAATATTAATAGTAATAATATTAATATTAATATATTATAATTAATAGTAATATACATAATATTAATATATTATAATTAATAGTAATATATATATAATATTAATATATTATAATTAATAGTAATATATATAATATTAATAATAATAATAATATTATTATTATTATTAAAAGAAAAAATTATCATTTGGAAATGTAAATATAGGTTAGGTCTGGGTGGGGTATAAATTAGGTTAGAGTTACGTCTGATTTTGATTACGGAGCTTCAATGATAAATAATTAGGGAATAAATTAACTTCGTGTGATATATAGAGTTCTCATAATTGAATGCAGACGATTTTAATTTAGCATAAATAATTCTGTAATCAAATTAGCGTGTTACTCGTACCAAAGGGACGAGCCGTGGCCATAGAAGTGTCGTTACTGTAGAGCGACGAATCGTTCATAGTGACAGCGTCCATCTGCAAGAAATGAAAAAACGGATATCAATATTATAACAATGAAAAAAGAACATATTTTTCTAAATATATTTCGTAGACTAATTAATCTTTCTGCCAATGTTCATTAGTATCCGTAGGAAAATATTAATTTGTCTGCTAAAAAAAACCTTAAAAAGTATGTTGAAAAAAATTGCTGAATAAATATTGGTAAACAAGTGTATGAAAAAAATTGCTATACAAGTGGGTTAACAAATGTGTTTGAAAAATTGCCGAATAAATATTGCTAAATAACCTAAATATTGTCAAATAAAAAAATACCAAGCAAATACATTAAAAAATATGTTGCCAAAAAAATTGTTAAATAAATATTGGCTAAGCAAGTATATTAAGAAAATATATTGCCAAAATAGTTGTTAAATAAAATATTTTTTAATCAAGCGTATTTTAAAAAATAAGTTGGAGTAACTTAAGAAGAGTAAAATTCTGAACGATCGTAAGATTGCTCGATGACAATTCCGTGGGAAGGGTCCGCCGTTTCGAATGTTAACGATCTTCTCGCTCGGCACCCTCGAACATTGTGTATTTGCATCAATTATGTGGGTAGGGATAATGGCGGCGCCATCCGGTAGAATGCATTCCATGACTCCGTGCGCATCAATGTAAATACCTTTATAACGATAATGGACCGGTTGTAATCGATTCACCGAATGTGTACATCTCTGCGGCGGGGCTTATCGTTAATTTCTGGGTGTACCATTTATACCGGGTGTACGAACGAATCCGATACCGCGGCCGGTGAACGTTTCTGCGGTGTTTACTGAAAATTACGCGGATCGATCATGCGAACCGTGAAACGCGATATTTCCGCGTTGGCGGTAATGTTTGTTGCATTGTAATGGTGATTGGATTTGTTTAAACTATTGATTCTATTGTTATTGTTGGTGTATTGGCTGACGGAAAAAATGAAAGATGATAGTGAGGGAAAATTATTTAATAGGCAAAATAATATAGTATATTGTGCTGTAAATGATATGCTAAATATAATATAATATACTAAACATACTAAGTATACTAAATATATAATATTAAATATACTAAATATAATATAATATACTAAGTATACTAAATATGATATAATATGCTAATATATAATATACTAATATACTAATAAATATAATATACTAATACACTAAATATAATAAATATAGTAAATATACTAAATATAATATAATATACTAAATATACTAAATGCACTAAGTATAATATAATATACTAAATACACTAAATATAATAAATAATATACTAATTATAATATACAAAATACACTAAATATATTAAATAATATACTAATTATAATACACAAAATACACTAAATATAATAAATAATATACTAAATCTAGCATACTAAGTACACTAAATATAATAAAAAATATACTAAATATAATATACAAAAATAATATTAATACAATATAGCTACTAAAATAATTACGAAAAATGTATTTAAATTCTTAAATTGTTATTTCATTGACTCGGGGTCGTTTACGGTAAATAATACGCAATAAAATCGTAGAAAAAAAATCGCCGATCGTATGAAAACAGTTCCGGCTACTCATTGTTAAAAAAAAAAAACGACGGAGAACTCGGGTGAAGCGAGAACGGCGGGCGATTTCGCAAACGCTGCAGGAAACAAGCGTCGCGGAGGAGTACACGGTGACGCGCGGTTATGGTCGCCGGCGCGTTAATTGGATCCGGATCGCGCGCGCGTGCCATTGAAAACTGGAGCGGAGGATTGCCGGTGTACGGCGGGACGCGATCCCCGGTCACCGCCGCGGCATTTATCCGCGGCGGATTTCAATATGGGATACATTCGATGAAACTTTAATTAGCACGTAACGAGAAATTCGCCGTAAAACATTCCATTGTCCACCGTTCGCCTAAATGGAATTGGCCGGCCGCGTTTGTTAAACCGTGGACTGGCCACGTACCGGGTGATCCAGTTGAAATCGAACGTCAAGTTCGAGTTATCTTCGTTATTACCAGAGATAGACAAAAAAATGACAAAGATAGATTTAAATGGTTTCGAGACGCGCATCCGATGGTAACAAAGTATCGTTCCGCCAAGGTCGTTGTGGTAATATTTTCAAGGTCATCGTCATTTTTTACCACATTAACTTTCATTTTTTATAGCACCACGTTGTTGCTCATATTAAAACGAATTTATTGACCTGTAACATCATGACCTTCGGGCAACCTTGACACTTAAAAAATGAGATAAAGTTTTTAAGAATATACTCGTTTTTTGACTGTCAAGGTCACCCCAAGGTCACGGTGTTATAGATCGTCGAACTCGCCTCGATGCGAGCAACAACATTGCGTCATAAAAGATAACCGTTGACGAGCAAAAAATATTGATGACCTTGAAAAGATCGTTAAAACGACCTTGGCGGAATGATACCTTCTTACCATCGGATGCGCGCCTCGAAACCATTAAAATCTAGCTTCACCATTTTTTCTATATCTTTTATAACAACGGAATTAAATTTGATGGTACAATTGAAATGGATCATCTAGTATATACGCGGCGTAGGTTCGTACGTGGGGCAAGCAATGACTTCAAACAAATTGTGTCTGCGCTCTCGAATCGGATTTCCACTGGTTGTCGATGCGAGAACAATTCACGAATATCGAAGAGATCGGACAACAATGAATGCGTCGGGGAGAAGTGGGGGCGGGGAGGATAAAAGACTACAGAAGCAACACGGAAAACCGATGAAAGCAATCGGGATAAATGGTTGCGACATCCGATTCGTACCGGGAAGCTAATAATCGTCCAATTAATTTTCGCGATGATCAAGGCTCGAATGAAACGCAGCGGTGATTCTATATTGAAATTAAACCGGCGCTGATTAATTCGTTGGCGTAGGTTAATTATGTCGAGGATTTAAATGAAACAACTCTAATCGCGATCGCGCAACAACGCGACGTCGTTGCTGAACGAATTTACCGAAGGAGGAAAATTCATATCCGCACTGGACGCACCGGTTTCTTTCATTCGCGAGCGACCGATTCGACGACGAAACAATTCCGTTGCTTTATCGAGGCCCGGCGAGAGATTGTGTTCCATCATTCCTTCACGAACGAATTCGCAAACAGATCGCGAACGAGGCTTCGTTACATGGACAGCTGGCTACAGAATTATTGCTCGAAAAAAATTTGTATGATTGTTGTAAATTTTGGATGTCGGCATTGTTTGATTGTTATTTAATAGCAAAATTGGACAACATAATTTGAGGAATGTGAAGAATTTCTTTCGATTACTTGGATTTGGAAATAAATATCTTGACACATAAACTAGTATTTGAAAATAAATATTTTTAATTCTGATCTTATAATATTTGATATTGCAATTTTGATATTATAATATTGATATTATAATATCGATATCGTAATATTGATATTACAATATTGATATTATATTATTGATATTATAATATTGATGTCATAATATTGATATTATATTATTAATATTATATTATTGATATTATATTATTGATATTATAACCTTGGCNGATATTATAATATTGATATTATAATATCGATATCGTAATATTGATATTACAATATTGATATTATATTATTGATATTATAATATTGATGTCATAATATTGATATTATATTATTAATATTATATTATTGATATTATATTATTGATATTATAACCTTGGC